CCATCTTGCAGCCACAATTGCAGGTTAGAATATTGTTTGTGATATGTTATGTCACTGTTGGTACTCTGTTTAAGTTGAACATCAATACAGGCATGCAGCCAGCCGCGAGCCATTGTGGTTTTTTCAGCACTGTTCGTTTGTCTTATAATCCGTATTTTTTAGATTGTTTTTTTTTCAGCCGGAACAATATTTTTCTCTCACAATAAATCAGCCGGAACAATGTTTTGGTTTGTTTTTTCAGCGAAGCGAACGAGGCTGTTCTAGATTTTGTGGTTATTTATGAAATTTGCTGAACTGTGGACAGACACTGATTTGTAAAATTTCTAATGCTGCTGATTATGTTTTTGAACGTCCAATTTGTGGTAAATTGAATTTGACTTCATCCTGTAATTCACAAACTTTCAGTAAGATGCAGGCCTTTTTACCTGTCCTGATCTATGCTTTGGAAATGTTTAGCAGACAAAAGTACTTACGGTAATTTATAAGTTCAATCAAACCTGTTATTTTGGTCTTCTCTTCTGAGCCCAGGATGCGCTAATATCCAAGCTGTTCAGTTTCAGCAAATAAGCTTTGCGTTACCATTGGTCCTGAATTTGTATCTGCTGTGCAATTTAACAATTGCATCATGTTGACAACTGTTGCTTTGTGCTAATTTACCTGTGATGTTGTTTGCCCATCACCATGGTCATGTGCTGCCTGTATCTAAATGTCAAGCCTGTGCTGTCAGAATTTTGTTCAGAATCCTCAACAGCTTGAGTAACTATGCTGTCAGGTTGCCGCCCAGCAGACAGTGGCACATGAGAAACAAAAGTTCCAGGGACATTCAAGTCCTTTGTCACCCACATTTCACACCGTTAGTGTTGCAAATAGACAGAATGACGTGAGAGAGAAAAGTTTTTCGAGCTTGGACACTGATGATAAATCGAACTTTTTAGGGACATAGACGATTAGATCATCTTTTTTAATGGGCATACCAGTAAAAGACTCAATAAAATTCTATGCGGCGGTGCGCCAGTCCGACTCCCGTGCGACACCGCTCACCCCGTATATGGCCGCATGACGCGTGTCGTCTGGTCCCACCACATGGATGTCGATGTTCTGGCTGCCTTTGTGGCTTTGAGGCTTTCCCTCCGTAACCGCCTGCACGCACCATGCGCACGAGACGCTCTTCCGTCCAGCTTCTCAGCTATGCATCGAGATTAGCGCAAAAAGATACGTGGACGGTTTGTAGATCGTGTTGCACAGGAGTCAAACTGCGGCACCGCCGCATAGAATTTTATTCCCATCTGGACCTCGCCTCGCCTCCACTGGCCCACCCCAAAGCCTAGCCGTTGTGCCCAAGCTATGAACCCTAGGGCGTGGGCGCCCCTGAGCTCGGGTCGCCTCCACCACCAGGGCTTCTGCCCGGACCTGCCGCCTGCTCTTGCGCGTTCTCGCAGCACCGTTGCAAGACGCCGCTAGCGTGTGCCAGCCCCACCTGAGCCCACGCAGCGCGCTACGCTGCACACCGCTCGCCCGCCCGAAGTTCCCCCTCCACACCCCGTCGCTAGCCCTCCGTCCCCCATCTCCGAGAGAGCAGCAGAGAACCTGTCGCGGGCCTAGCTCCTTGCACAGCTCCCTCACCCAACCACATGGAGGTGTGCCACCTCTTGGCTCTCCCCGCCGGCCTGGCCTTGCCGGAGCCGCCCCTTCTCCTGTGCACGTTCCTGTAGCCATGACTAGGAGACTGAGTAAGAACCGGAGAGGAAATAATTTTTTTTGTTTTTCGGTGGAAACGAGCTTGTTGGGGTTTTGATCCTTGAGTGCGCAGCGGCGGGGTGGGGTGGGAGCAAGGTTGAAGCTAGGTTGAGGGATGATACAAAGAACCACGACCTTTGGATTGAGTTGAAGCCCCTGAGAGAAGATTGTGAGCCTTTGATTTTAATGTTGTTGTATATTTCTGGGTACAAATTTTGTGGTTGAACTATCTCAGCGGATGACACAATTTAAGGTGTATCCAGCTTTGGTACACAGATTTTGGACTATCTCAGTTTTGTTTTGATAGTGTAACGGATATAGATGAATTTAGAAGTGCTGGCCAGCATCATGCGTTTAGGTGATTGAATGGTAGGATCATGGGAGTATCTCGTAGCATCTGGCGGAGATTTTTCTCGTTCGAGACCCACTTCCGTGGCAGCTGCACTGTTGCGATAAGCTTACCGATAGGTCGAGTATCGGGGGGCAATCTATCCACCGCTTGGAGTCTTCCAGCTAGCCTCCATTGCTCCGTCAACCATCACTGCACTTGCTTCTCACACGACACGATCTCCACTACTAGCAGCTCCTGCGAACCACCTCGTTGCCCGTGCGCCGCGCATGCAGCCTGCCTAGGCGTGCATGCTTGCACACGTCGACGACGCTTGGGTCGGCGCCATGTCATGGCAGCCCCGGCCGCCGTTCCGTCTCCCCATGCGCCCACCGCCCACCCGATCGGCGACCGAGCTGGCCGCCTCTCCGTCTTCCCTCGGCGCCCAGCTAGTACTAGTACTAGTACCAGGTGCAGTTGTACTGCCACTACCGCTAGCTAGTGGGAACTGGGAACACAAGAACGAGTGTGATCAGATCGGTGACCACTGACCAGAGCTATTAGCACTTTAGCAGAGCTCGCCGCAGCTTGCAGCTGGCCGCTGGTTGCCTGGGCGCCGCCGCATGCCATGGGGGTGCCTTCCTTCTACAAGTGTCTCGTGGGCAAGTACCCCAACATCGTCGTCCCCGCCAAGGAAGACGACGAAGCTGGCGCCGGCACGTCGTGGCCGCCGTCGCCGGGGGACGAACAAGCCCAAGCCGGCCGCCCCGCCCAATGGCGTCTACCACAACCTGTACCTCGACATGAACGGCATCATCCACCCCTGCTTCCACCCGGAGGACCAGGCATATATATGTCTGTAACGCACATGTTACACACACATCACATCATCCTCCGCCTGATGGATTGATCGAGTTCCTCAACTGAATCTCTTGACGATGGATCTGGTAATAAACGTGATGGATTCAATGCAATGCAGGTGTACCCGCCGACGACGTTCGACGAGTCGTTCGCGGCCATGTTCGAGTATATAGATCGCCTCTTCCGCATCGTCAGGCCTACTAAGCTGCTCTACTTGGCAGTAGTTACGAACATGTGCACTGTACACTACTAGTACACATGTTTCAACCGTATTTTTTTTTTCATTTTGTCTTTAGCGCCTTGTTTGAATTGCAGATGGTGTTGCTCCCCGGGCCAAAATGAACCAGCAGAGGTCCAGGCGATTCAAGGCCGCCAAGGACGCTAAAGATGCTGTAAATAAACAAACCCCTCGCTGTCCTCTGGATTTGCTTCCTGCTATGAATGATTTGAAGCAACCTGTACGTATGTTCCATGATATGATTAAATTTGCAGGAAGTGGAGGAGAAGATTCTGAGAGAGAAGTTCAGAGCTGAAGGGCTGGAGGTGCAACCGCCACAGACGCATGAGGTTTCCACTACTGGAAACCGGCACTTTGCGGAGTGCCTGCGGCACTCGGCAAAACCCGAAATATACTCGGCAAAGGCTTTGCCGAGTGCCGCACTCGGCAAAGGGCACTCGGCAAAAAATTAATCGGCAAAGAAGCCTTTGCCGAGTGCTTTTTGTCGGGCACTCGGCAAAGCCTTTGTCGAGTACTGAAAAAGCACTCGGCAAAGATTTACACTCGGCAAAATGAAAATGCGAAAAAACCCCAAAAATAATAGCAAAATTTTTTTTTTCAGGGGAGGCCGCCACCGGCCAGCGCCCGTCCGTCCAGCGCCACCGGCCATCGAAGTCGCTACATTTTTTGCGCAAAATTCATGGCTAACACGGCCAGTGGGATTCAAACTCACGACCTCTCCCTCGCGTGTCTGTTGCTCTACCACTGCACTACACTGTCACTTGTGTCTAGATTCCATTATCTATCCTCATATATTATACTAATCCGAGAGTAAATTGCTAGTTTGAGGCCCTAAACGAATTCAAATCAAAAAGTGGTCAACTACAAAGTTTCATAACTTTTCGAGATCTACAATTTTCATTTATGAAGTTTTTCCATCTGAGGTCGTTTGAAAAATTCAAATTTTAAATTTGAGAGATTCAAACGTAGTTTGCATGATAAGATGATTTCAAATCAAAAAGTTGTCAACTACATAGTTTCATAACTTTTGGAGATCTACAATTTTCAATTAGGAAGTTTTTCCATCCGAGGTCTTTTGAAAAATTCAAATTTTCAAATTTTCAAATTCAAACGTCATTTTTGCATTACAAAATGATTTCAAATAAAAATGTTGCCAACTACAAAATTTCAGAACTTCTCAAGATCTACAAAGTTTATTTTGGTCATTTGTTCATCTGACATAATGGTAGTAACATTATTCACAAATCTTATATATCTCTCTTCTACTTTCATGAAACTAATGAGAGATACGAGAGAGATGTAGATTTTATGAATAATGTTATTGTTGCTTTGTCAAATGAAGAAATAACCAAAATAAACTTTGTAAATCTTGAGAAGTTATACAACTTTGTAGTTGAAAAGTTTTTCATTTGAATTCATTTAGGGCCTCAAAAATTGTTTTGAAAAAATGGTATGCCGAGGGCCAAAAAAATGCACACGTCAAAATGCCTCTTTACCGAGTGCCAAAAAAGGCACTCGGCAAAGACGCATTTTGCTGAGTGCCAAAAAATGGCACTCGGCAAAATGCCTCTTTGCCGAGTGCCAAAAAAAAAGGCACTCGGCAAAAACGCATTTTACCGAGTGCCCAAAAATGGCACTCGGCAAAATACATCTTTGTCGAGTGCCGAAAAAAACACTCGGCAAAGCCATCTTTACCGAGTACCGAAAAAAACACTCGACAAAGCCGTCTTTGCCGAGTGCCGATAAAATACAATCGGCAAAGCTTCCGGCACTCGGCAAAGTGTCGGTTTCCAGTAGTGTTCAGATCCCATTGGCATCACGCCAGGGGCGGAGTTCATGGAGAAACTCTCCAAGGCCCTCGAGTACTACATTCGTTCCCGGTTGAATAGTGACCCCGGATGGAAAGGCATCAAGGTTTAGTGGACACTGAGGCTCTTCTCTCACTTTCCCATTTTTGCATTGCTGCAGTGAATATCTTATTCTTATGACAGCTTTTATTTAATATTAATATTGACAGTTTCAAGATATTAGTTTCATTGTGTAAAATGCGCCCCCTGTTTTGAAATAATGGTTACCATTTGACGTTACTATTCAAAACTTTTCAACTAATAGGCAAATGAAATGAAATTTTTAGCATTGTCAAAAAGTATTTAATTTTAAATTCAACTTGTGTATTTACAGTTAGGCAGGTGAAATATCAAAGTGAAGAGTGATAATTTTCTTTTAATCTGAGGCATTGCACTTTTTTTTTGAGTGGCTAGTTGATCACACATTTTGATCAAGATCCTGATTTTCGTCAACATGATCGTTACTTGAAAACCTTCATGATACTTGTGTTCTGAAGGTAATACTCTCTGATTCAAATGTAGCTGGAGAAGGTGAACACAAGATCATGTCTTTCATCCAGTGACAACAGAGCCTGGAGAACTATGATCCAAACACAAGGCACTGCTTGTATGGATATATTGGTACGATAGACTAACCAAATATTTGAATATTTTCTACATCACTGGTCTTCTAATTGTTCTCTTTATTGTGCCTCTTTTACACTCTGAATATCATTACAGGATGCGGACCTCATAATGCTCGCTTTGGCATCTCATGAACTTCACTTTTCAATTTTGCGTGAGGTCTGTCAATCCATCATCGGTGTCATCTCTGGCTTCATCATACTATGATAGTTTTTGGCAAATCACATTTATTTAATTGGATTTAGCAAGTAAAGGTGTATTGAAGTTAAATGTAGATGCAAAATTTTGTAAATATTGAGTTGAAAATACTCCTTTTGTAAACTTGAACAGGATGTGTTACCTCAGAATCAGCCAGAAAATTGCATCCCTCTATCCAAAGAACTGTTCAAGACTGAAGATTCCTCAAGTGTAGAGGATGGTTCCCCCGAGTAACAGAAACAACTCCTAGAGACAGGTCTCCCAAGAAACCTTAACAGGTTTGTTCCTCAGTCAAAGATGATAACAGGGTCTTTCCATTTTTTTTATAACACCGCTTTCTTGCAGTTTTTGAACATATGGGTTCTGAGGGAGTACCTGGAGCTTGATTTGAAGATACCGAACCTGGTTGTCAAAACGGATATCGAGAGGCTAATAGATGATTTCATATTTATCAGTTTCCTGACAGGAAATGACTTCATTCCACATATTCCTTCAGTTGAGATACATGAGGTGCACTTATGCCATCTGGTTCTAACAGCTTAATAGCAAACAATATTGTTATTGTCACATCCTTTCACATGTTTCCCACTGCAAAAAAGTGTTCTTTCCCTTAATTTATCTTGGATGTAGCAGGGTGCAATTGATCTGCTGTTGGAAGTGTACAAACAAGCATTTAACAAAATGGGGGGCTATATTGTAAGCACCGAGAAGGTACATGCAGAATCGAACTGTTCATTTCGTTGATTAGTTGTTGAGTTATATTTTGATGTATTTCTATTGCTACCAAAAACAGTTAAAAGACAAACATGCTGCATATCTTAAAGTTTCGAGGTTGGAAAAGTTTTTTCATGAACTGTCCTTGTGTGAAGAGAAATTTTTTCTTAAAAGATATGAACTGCGAGAGGTATGTTGTAAAACTTATAATCCTTGGGTCAAAGTGTACACTATTGCCAATTGGAACTTGTTGATTACATGCAGAAGTTACAGCGCAATTTAGTGCGCCGAGCTGCAGAAGAATGGAAAGAAAGAAACTATGACAATATGGTGAGGGCTATATACAGCTAAAAATTTTGTTCTGATTACTGTCAAATTCATTTTTTAATCTCAAGCTTTCTTTACTCAGGAAGAAAATCCTGATGGTCCAGACTTGAGTCTTTTTCAACAAACTGCAGTATTTCCACTTACAGCCAAGACGAGTCAGATGTATGGAAGAGCTTACCTATTTTTTATACTTTTATTGGATATCTGGAAATATCTTATCACTTCTCCTAAACTTGTTTTGCAAAATCCATATTATTCCTTAGGTAACTGCAAATACCTTGGAGCTGAGGCGAAACTTAAAGGATACTCTTCGTAACAAGCAAGACCTTATAAAAAGTGGAGCCTGTAAACATGATGCGGTTAGTAGCACCTATTTGAGTAAATATTTCGCATATGTTGCAGATAAGATTGGGATTTGCGGGGTGGAAATCTCGATTCTACAGGGAAAAGTTTGGTGTGGAAAAATCTAATGAAGTTGGGAAGCTGAAGAATGACATGGTTATGATTTTTCTGTTTCTGTGTGCAAATAAAATTTTAATACCTGTGGGCATTCTGAAGAGACATCATATGATGTTAACTTTTTTGTCACTGGCTTAATTTAGGTTCAAAAGTATCTGGAAGGACTTTGTCGGGTGCTGCAGTACTATTTTGCAGATGTGCCATCATGGAGCTGGTAGGATGTACATATTTATATATGATCTGAGCTTTTATTTGTCCATGTATCTTATACATTGTACTCGTATGCTTTCATCGTCTGAAATTTGAATGATGAATAGTTTAAAATTTTGATAATCTTGATAAATAGATCCACATACTAAGTGATATGTGACAGCTAATTCTTATGGATATATATGTACTAGCAAATGTTTTCTATAATGTTTATTTTGTTTTCTGCAGGTACTACCCCTTCTATTATGCTCCTTTTGCATCTGATTTTAAAGGACTATCTCACTTCAAGATATCTTTCACTGCTGATAAGCCACTAAGGCCATTCGATCAGCTCATGGCAGTTCTTCCAAAACAAAGGCACGTGAAATATTCTCTGTTTTATAATGCACATTCTTCATAGCAATCTTTTAGTTGAAGTTTTAAGTTTATTTTCTTTTGCAGCTCATGTGCACTACCAAAGTGTTACAGAGAACTGATGGAAAATGAAGAGTCTTCGATAAAAAAAATTCTACCCGTCAGGTATATTTGTCACTCTAGACTCATCATATAATCTGAATTCTGAATACCATATTACTGAACTAAATGGGGATTCATTTCTCTTACAGATCTACAGATTGATACCCATGGGAAACGTTTCTTGTGGCAAGTAAGTCATTATTCCATATATATGAATTCATAATTTAAGACTAGCTTACTCCTATTTTTATGCACATTGGCTGGGTTGTGTAGCTAAGAAAATCATCTTTCAGTTCCTACATTTAAGCCCCCAGTATTAGTAGTTGTGAAAGAAAAAAGAAAGCCTTCTTCACTCATGCTAGTTTTCTCCGAAATAAATTGTTTCAGGGTATTGCAATGTTGCCATTCATTGATGAAAGGCTGCTGATTTTGGCTACCAAGACGGTGGAGGACAAACTTGCAGTAAAAGAAATTGCCTACCTTCTATGCAAATTGTCTACCAGAGTATGTTGCACGTGAGTGTTTTACATTGTTTGTATTTTGTAGGTGCATGAGATAAATAGAAACACAGTTCGACGAGATAAGATCTTCCTGAGGAACTCAAATACTATGCCAAATGGTTCAGCTTTTGCGCAGACATCTGATTGTTTGGCAAAAAAGCTTCCGTTAGATCCATCTACCAGGTACAAGTCTGAACTGATACTGCGTTGATGCATTTCTTTTATTTTTGAGCAACTTAAAAGATTGTTGCTAAATCCTAAATTTCATTCGACATAGTGAACTTGGAGGGTGGTTGTCACCTGTTGACGACGATATTATAAGCTGTGGTTTCTTACGTTCACCGATACGAGATCTACAGGACATTAGGAATGACCAGACAATGTATGTTTTCTCTTGACCCTCTCATCACATTCATGCAGTACATTCCTAAGGGAAGAAGTCATCCTTTAATTTTCACTACATGTTCTTGTGTATGTTTCAGATCATTCTTGTTCTCCAACCCAGAACCAGTGCAAATCATTCCGAGGCTACTTGATAATGTCCAAAAACCTGAAAAGGTATATTCAGATGTCCCTTTAGCTGCACATACCTCCGATTCATCTTCATCTCTGAAAGAAACCATGTCTTCTGCAGACTGTAACTGAAACTGAGATTCCAAAGAGGCCGCTGTGGCACACCTATCCTGGTAGCCGACCACCGCCTGAAACCATCCCAACCGTGGCAGAGCCTCAGTCGATGATCAGCGGCTTTGGACGTGGGAGAGGGAGAGCCATCACTGCAGATTCAGCGCTGGGCGGTGGCCGTGGCTACGGGAGAAGTTTTTATGGGGCTGACGTGGCGCAAAGCCGAGGCTGCACATTCGGAAGCGCTTGTGCAGGAAGAGGGCAGTATGGCGGCGTGTTCCAGAGGCAGCAGACGGCTTGGCGCCCTGTTGGGAATTCAGGCGGCTGTGGTGGGAGTGAACAGCACCGTGGTTGGTAACAGAAGAGATGACAGGGATGAGATGAACTAGTTTTTGGTCTCGTGCCTCACCATTTTGTCTGAAACATCAGTAATGCTATGTTGACTTCTGAAATTATCTGTGTGATACCTCAAACTAGAGGTACTTTCTGTGTTGAGACAGAATGCCTTGTTGTGTTGCTAATCTTGGGTCTGGCAGCTTGTTCCATTTCGTCCCGCTTGTGTTACGTTCAAAAAAATTTCGTCCCGCTTGTATCTGACTTTTGTTAGGTAGCATCTCTTTTTTTTTACGTTTTTTGAATCATACAGTCTACAATATTACTCTTACTTTTTAGTTCATATCATAAACTAATGGTGGGGTACGACATACAAGGTTGAGTTAGGCCTGATCGCGGGGAGGTGCCGTGGAACACCACCTTCCAGAGCCGCACGTGTCGGAGCATGAACTTGTATGACCGCTCCATGTCGTTGAGCGGCCACCCGCCGTACTCTTTCCCCAAATCCGTCACGAACACCTGAGCCAAGCAATCCAACCAGCAAACTAATCTATCGACTTCATATTTCATCCATCCGTTATTTGTTATGGGAAAACCCCAAAATGTTCGCTGAAGAATTTGGAGCTCGATCTCGATTTCTTCTTCTCGAAGAAAGAATTCCGAGAGACCTATCTTTGTTCAAGCCTCCATAGCTGCCCAAGTTTCTCTCTAGGTGAGAGAGCGCCCCGCTCTGCCCGTCGGTGGCCACTACGGCGCTGACGTCCACCACCTCACGCCGGCGACCACTCCGGTCCCGTGGTCCAGTGGCAGGCCCAAAGGGTAGTCCAGGTAGGTCTAAGACTACCCTGAAATCAGGCCCAAAGTTTATTTAGTACTCAACATTTTCAATCTAGGTATCTCCCGTCTGCCTCCTGAGCCCCTGCGCGAGGCCGTGAGACATGCCCCGCCCCCGAGGCCGCGACACTTGCGAGTGCTGCCACCCCTGACTCCCCGAGCGCTGAGGCCGAGCCGCACGAGGCCCAAGCGTCAGCACCCCGCAAGGCGCCATCTCGCCTGGGCCTAGCGCTGGTCGCCGTCTCTCCGAGCCTGTGCGGCACCCCCGCTGCGGCACTGCGCGGCACCCCGTGTGGCTGAGGTGTCGAGCAGGGCAGCAAGCTACATGCCACCGGAGCCAGCCGCCGAGTGCGCCAGGCTGCTGCTCTGCAGCGCGCCAGCGCCAGCGCCCCTAGACGGTGAGTGTGCTTTTGAAGTTCTGAGCTCACCCAAATCTCATACCCTTGGGTTTGGACAGTGAGCACTGGAATGTAAATTTGGTTAGGGATTTGTTCTTGTGAATGAAATCAGAGCATAGAATTCATTGAATTAAATTTCTTATCATTTTTCAGAAGGCTTAGGGATTGTAGATCTATCATCTGTGAGCCTAGAATTAAATGGAAATTGTTGTAATTTTTCAGGAAGTTGAGGCATGAAGAAATCAAATATAGCATTTCTTTTTCAGAAGCATGAGGCAAAAAAATTGCAAGTTGTGCTCCACCAGTTCCAGCAGTTGATAAAGAGTTGTCTATTCCTGTTGTAGACGATCCTCTAATTGTGAGTGATGAAAGTGCGATCATAGTTGTGGATGAAGGGACAGAAACACCTAGAGTAACAGATACAGCCACAGATCCTACCGGAGATAATGGGTCAGATGAAGTTGAAGAAGAAGAGGAAGAAGAACCGGCTCCGGCTGCTGATGTTGATTCCCTTGAGCATGACCCGGGCCTAAGGAGTCCTATTTCAACCTTTGATGTGAATGAACAAGATTCTATCAGAAGAAAGTACATTTTAAAAGGCCCCTGTCATCTTTATGCCTATAATTATCCATCTAGAAAAATCTATGGTAAAGATCGCCGCTTTAGTTTTGTTTTGTTTCATAAGTACCATTGGATTGAATATAGCGTAGAGAAGGATGCAGCATATTGCTTCTATTGTTATTTGTTTGGTAAAGAAAGTGAAAAATTTATTACGGATGGTTGGCATAATTGGAATATGGGAACTATATCACTTGACAAATATGAGTCTTCAACTTTACACAAGTTTGCTCAAGAGAAATACAGCTTATTTGTGAAAAAGGGTATAAAAATTGATACTGTCATTGAGAACGTGTCAAAACAGAATCGAGTTGATTACAAGGCTAGGTTGACTTATTCACTCAGATGTTTGAGATTCCTTCTGCATCAAGGATTGACTTGTCGTGGGCATGATGAAACTGAGGAATCTAACAACAGAGGGAACTTCCTTGAACTCTTGAATTGGCTTGTAGGAAATAATGAAGAGGTGCACAAAGTGGTTCTAAAAAATGCCCCAGGTAATTGCATTTTGACCTCCCCTCGCATACTAAAGCAGATTATTAGATGTTTCTCTGAGGAAATCACTAGATACATACTTGAAGAACTTGGGGATGACTGCTATGCAATTCTAGCTGATGAATGTAGTGATATATCACTTAAAGAACAACTGGCTGTTTGTTTGCGTTATGTTGATAAATGTGGAGGTGTTTGTGAAAGGTTCCTTGGAGTAGTTCATGTTCCAGGCACCACTTCTTTGGAACTTAAAACAGCTATTCAATCTTTACTCACTAGTCATCACTTGAGTCTTAGTTCTTGTCGTGGGCAAGGATATGATGGGGCTAGTAACATGAAAGGAGAGGTTAAGGGGCTGCAAACACTGATAATGAAAGAGTCTCCTTCTGCTTATTATGTGCATTGTTTTGCACATCAACTCCAATTAGTGCTTGTTGCTGTTGCCATGGGAGATGTTGGGGCTAGTACTTTTTTTGCTCAAGTTTCACGCTTGCTGAATATTGTTGGAGTTTCTTGCAAACGCCATGACATGCTTCAAGATGTTAGAGCACGAAAATTGAAGAAAGCACTTGAATTGGGTGAAATAGAAAGTGAAAGTGGGTTAAATCAAGAGATGGGATTGGCTAGGCCTGGTGATACTAGGTGGGGATTCTCATTATAGAATTGTTTTGCATATCATTGACATGTATTCTACCATTCGGGAAGTACTCATAACCCTTGGAAAGGATCCCACACAAAAAGATGATTGGCCAAACATACATGCTATGGTTCTGACTTTAGGGTCATTTGAGTTTGTTTTCAATGCCCACTTGATGCTTGTGATTCTTGGGTACACAAATGAGTTGTCTCAATCTTTGCAAAAGAGAGACCAAGATATTGTTAATGCAATGACACTTTTTGGTGTGGCAAAGAGAAGGTTCCAACAATTGAGGTCTAATGGGTGGGAAGATTTCTTAGAAAAGGTTAAATCATTTTGCATCAAATATTCTATTGATGTTCCTGCAATGGATAGCAAATATGAGCCTCATGGAAGATCCCATCGCTTTTATCCTGTACAAACAATTGATGATCACTATAGAAGAGAAGTGTATATTGGTATTATTGATAGAATTCATCAAGAGCTTGAGAATCAGTTTGATGAGGTTGTATGGAGTTGCTTATTTGTATGTCAGCATTGAATCCCTCCAATTCATTTGTCTCATTTGATGCTCAGAAAATCCTTAAGCTTGCAACTTTTTATCCCAAAGATTTTCCAAGTTCTGCTTTGAGGACACTTGAAATTCAACTTGGCACATATATTGAAGATGTGAGAATGGATGATAGATTTGAAGGACTGAACAACCTCGGTGAGCTCTCTAACAAGCTTGTTGACACTAAGAAACATGAATTTTATGGTTTGGTGTACTTAGTCCTTAAATTGACATTGATCTTACTAGTGGCGACTGCAAGTGCTGAAAGAGTATTCTCTGCATTGTGTTTAGTGAAGAATAAGGTGAGAAATAGTATGAGTGATAGGTTATTGAATGATTGTTTGGTTACCTTTATTGAGCGTGATATATTCTCCGCTGTAAGCGACGATGGCATAGTTTATGCTTTCATGGCAATGAGAAATCGCAAAGCAAAAGCCTTGAACTAGAACTTGTATTGTAATCTCTTATTTATGTAAGACCTTATCTTATGTATAATCTATTTGTACAAGTTTCGGATCTATTTATATAAGTTTTGAATCTTTCAATTGTATTATCTCAATTTGGTTAATTTATAGCCATTTTATCGAACTTTTTCTTTGAATTTTGTCGTGTTGCACATGAAATTTTTTTACTAGGACTACCCTGGTTTCAAATCCTAAGTCTGCCACTGCCGGGGTCCACCAAACACATCGCCGTCGACCATCCCGGTCGCGCCGTCCACCGCTGCCATGGAGCACGGCTCCTGCTCCTATTGCTCCTGGGCTAACGAGGTGGAGGAGGAAGAGGCTGCTTGGGGCGGTGCTACATTCCTTGAGCTGCCCCGTCTTGCCGCGATGGCGCACGCCGAGCTGGTCCTGCGCTCGAGCTCGCTAGATCCGGGCGCGGTGCCCTACCTTGCCTCCCCTAGGGGGTCTGCTGGGAGGGTCCACTTATCCGACTCCGATGCCTCCCTCGACGACTCGGATGCGCCGCCCCTGTGCACAACGTCTCCGCAGGCGCCGCCGCCACCGTCGGGGTGGGTTCATGGCGGACGCGCGGAGGGCGAACGTGGCTGCCGTTCCTCCGCGCCTTTGGTCCATCGTCGTCCATCCGCCAAGGATGTCGATCGCGCCTGATGCGAAAGGCTTTCGGCCGGTGCAGAGCAGGAGGCGCTGGCTGCCCCGACGCATTTTGACTGCCCTGCTGCGGAGGGCCTAGGAGCCGCCTGCCTCGCCGGGGACGTGGGCGCGCATGCCTCTGTTGGAGCTCGTCGTCGTCCCATGGACCCCGGCGCTGCAGGCCACGGAGGACGCCTTGTCGCTGGCCTTGCTTGCATTAGTCATCGGCACAAGACCACTGGTCACACGCGCCATGGCACGGGAACACTTGGCTGGGTTCTTCGGCATCACGGATGATCGTGCCACGGTTTGCCGTACAAGGCCGGACGACTTCATTGTTGGTGTAAGCCTGCTTATGTGTCATGGTTGGTGACATGGAGAGCAGCGAAGGCGGAA